TTTACCATTCAGCTTTTAACAAACTTCTGTGATTATGATCTGTTATTATGACTACGATATGAACAGTACATTAGTAATTTTTACCGTATCTGTGTTCTTTAAAATATGTAAATGCATTAATTTCTACAACTTTCAGACTATGTGGAAATTCTCGTTGTCATCCATTGGTAATTTTCCTTTTTAAAAAGTCCGGTTTTGTGTTGCTTACGTCTATATACCATGGTATCGTATTTTTGTGTCATAATTTTTGTATGCTTTATCTTATTAAAAAAGTAATGATAGGAAGTATACAAATAAATACTGCTTACTAATTACATTAATATAATTCATTTGGATCTGTTTCTATGCCTTAGAAACAGTTTGTTGGTGAATTTGATTTTATAAAATTATCTGTCTGGAATTTTACTAATTAATATTATCCGTTCAATTCAGAAACAATATCGATTTATTTAAAATTACTGCAATCTAGGACGGTTCGCTGAATGCATTCATTATCAGACGGGACTGATTGTTTGAGAAGTTATATTGTAGCGTAATGTGCTACCATGAGTTCCTTCTAATACTTTTTTTTTAGATAGCAGAACAATGTTTAAGCAATTACCCCGTGAATTGTTATATCAAAATATTAATTTTAATATTTTTATACTGCCTACTCCACTCCAACGTTTCATCATTTGATTCTTAATTCACCAATATCGAATCACATGTTCAAAGGTTACGATGGAGGAAAACAATTTTTTTACCGGGACTTTTATCCCCCTGGTTATCCTTTACGTCCCCATGGGACGCATATTCGACCATACACTAAACACCAACACGCCTTCTGGCTCCTCTGATCTGGGGTCAACAGAACGGCGAGGCTCTCCGCGACAACACATACACGAGCGACAAGTGACCAACAACCATACCCAAGAAGAGACTGGAACCCGCGACCCTTCGGACCGAAGCGCTGAGTCGATACGCGCTCTGAGCCACTTCGGCTATCGAGGTCGACAAAACCAAACATTCACGGTGAAAAAACATTACCCTCCTTCCAATTTGCGCAGCCTGGTTCCGAGACCAGTGTAAATTGAAGTGGAACTCCCGCAGCTTCGCGTGGAGGCTGGCAGCTGCGGTCCTCGACCACAGTCAAAAACGCAATCGGCGGCGGCGGCGGCGGCGGCGGCGGCGTCTGGACCTCGCCCCCGGCCGAAGAGCGCGACACCAGGATTCATCGCGCCATCCGATCACGCAGAGTTCCGTATCGCGTGCGCTCCCCCTCTCCTCGCGAGTGAGGGACAGGGTGGGCGTAATTGGGCGTCCAAGATTCGCGGCCCCGGTCTACTGCAGGCTCAAAATCTGGTTCTTGGAAGGACTGGCAACCTCTCCCCACCCTTCACATTATTTTTAAAATTTCGTTCAACATTCCACGTTTGAGTTTACTTTTTTAAAATTTTCGAAATGTATTCACATTGTTCTTGTAATGTTCAGGTTTTGATAGTGTATTGGCGTAGTGTACTGATATACTTTAGTTGGAACCCGGACTAATTCGTGCATTTTCAAGGGGGAAAAATCCTTCGTGTACAATCTTTAAAATGAGAAATATCACAAATTTTACTAGTACTATTAAAAGACCGTAATTGAACCAATGGTTGAACCGGAAATCATTAGATCTTTGTACATAGCAGAACAATTAACCTTCTGAGAGGTTGAATTTCTGAACACATTCATGAAGAAAATGTAATATTTATTACATAGTTATATGTGAGAAGGAAACCAATATTTATTATTTAGGATTTATAATATTGTTAAAATAGGTTTTAAATTTATGTTTAGAGATATAATTCATTGCCTGAATCGTTTCGAAATTAAAATGAGGGTCACCCAAGCTCCGCATGAATGGGAAGTATTTTCACGTCTATTACAGCTTTAAAAACATCCAATGGGACTTTCTAAACTTGGCGCAAATCTGAGCATTTCACTCGCGAATGCTCCAACGCGTCTGCCGCCTGCCCCGGGGTCAACTGCAGAGGCCGCGAGGGCGTGGCGGCCTGTTTCGCTTCCGACGGCGACGAGCGGCGGGGCGGGCGAGGTCGTGGCGCCGGGTGGCGGCGACCGGGGCGGGGCGATGACGCCGAGGTGAAGACTGTGGCGGGAGCGGGGGTGACGGAGACGGGGAGGGACGGGAGTGAGGGGGGCGGACGAGTGGCGAGAGCAGAGGTGGCAGTCGGAGCGGGAGCGAAAGAGAAGGGAGAGGTGGGAACTGGGCGGAGTGCGAAGGAGCGAACGGCGGCGGACGGCGGGGCGGAGCGGAGCGGCGAGCGGGGCGGAGCGGGCGAGCGGGGCGACGGGGCGAGCGGGCGGAAGCGGGCGGAGCGGGCGCGAGCGGTGGGCGGGAGGGCGGAGGCGGGCGAAGCGGGGCGGAGCGGGCGGAGCGGGCGGACGGGCGGGGGGCGGAGCGGGGCGGAGCGGGGAGCGGGGACGGGGCGAGGGCGGGCGGGGGAAGCGGGGCGGGCGAGGCGGGCGGCGGAAGCGGGGCGGACGCGGGGCGGAGCGGGGCGGAGCGGGCGAGCGGGGCGGGCGGGGCGAGGGCGAGCGGCGGAGCGGGCGGAGAGCGGGGCGGATCGGAGCGAGCGGCGGGCGGAGCGCGGGCGGAGCGGGGGCGGAGCGGGGCGGAGCGGGGCGGACGCGGGGCGGCGTAAGCGCGGGCGGACGGGGCGGAGCGGCGGGAGCGGGCGGAGCGGGGGAGCGGGGCGAGCGGGGGCGCGGAGCGGGCGGAGCGGGCGACGGGGCTTGGAGCGGGGCGGAGCGGCGGAGCGAGCGGCGAGCGGGCGCACGGGGGAGGGCGGAGGGGCGTTGGGGCGGGGTGTGCTGAGCGGGCGCGCGGGGGGCGGTTTTGGGTGGGCGGTGTGAGTCAGAAGCCGATAAGCGGGCCTCGACAGCGACTTCTCCGCGCCCGCGGAAGCTGTGCCCACACCGAAAAATATCAACAATCAGCATGTGCAGTCGATCAATCCAAAAGAAATGCTAACAAAAAATTATCGTCCTCGACGAAATCAACGGAGAGAACTGGTAAGATTCAGTGTAACACTCTCGTGAAAGACAAGCTTCACAGACACATTAGCAGATGCAGATTATTGAAAAATAGTCAAGAGTAAGCAGAGACAATTCCAGAGGCCGACACGGGACGAAGAGTGAGCATCATAGGTCATTATTTCATTTCATTTTATCTGCGACAAAATGGTGTAGACTATTAGGGCACATTTACAACCCTCTGTACGGATTTGAAACAGTTCGCTTCCAACGTATCGTTGGAGTTTGAAGTTTTCATCTTGTATTAAAAACATTCTTGCATTCACACTTCTGCAGTTTGTTGGTGGAATACTGTACTGTAAGATATGCTGCTGGAAGGTAGACCAAAAAAAGACCTTAAATTCTGAAGAGTGCGTTAACTCGAAATTCATTTTTTTAGTTGTGTCACTATTGCTGCCCACGAGCAATATCGTGAAATAATAACGAACGAAATGCGGTTTTGTAATGAAAGATTTCAACTAAGCATCATTAGAAATAGACAAAATACTTCAGAAGTTAATTAAGACATTCACATTTCCAAAAATGGAAATTATTATAAAACACGAATCACAGGCCTGCTATAACTTCAATTAGCCATAAATTATTGGAGGCCAGATCATTGCCTTGTAGATACTAAGATGAATGGAAAACAGACTAACATTTAGGAAATGTATGTGTGATGGTGATTTTGCAAGATGATAAAAACTTTTCAGAACCTTCCATTTAAAAGCAACGTTACATATTTGCCAAGTATCTCTTGTTTTGTTGTTGGGTAACAAGACAAGCGGGAAGGAAAATTGGTTTCAATACGGCAGATATTAATGAAACCATTCGATGTTTTATCATAGGGAGGGTGTTTTCACTGACGTTTAACTTTTGACAACATACTCCTTTTTACATATATTCGGTTCATTGCAACATTTTCATTACACAATACGTGCAATTTGACTAACTATATACTAACATGTGTAATACTAAACAAATGCCACATCAAATCATTTCATCCAAATATGTTAACATGTGATCAGAGTTGTTTTTGTGAACAAGGAAAATTGATTCTAATCAAATTTAAAACTAATATTGATTATTTGATCTTCCCAATACTTTTAAAAAAATGTTCTATAGTTCTGTTGAACTGCGATCGGAGGTATTTCCTATTCTACTGCGTCCCGGGAGCAACTGACCATAACCACCAGCTGCCCTACATGGCACGCAATTCTTTGCTCTATTTACTCGCATTTCACTTATTGTCATATAAGACTTCCGTATATCCAGGGCGCCTAGCGCTGTATATCTGTACTTGTCCGCAAGATTGTTATCATTGCTGAATAGTTATTTTCGCATGATTCTCGCTCGAACTTTAGATTGAAGTACAATGTCATCGTGTTGACAAACAAAAACCAGTACATCTCTAAGAAAATAATTTACCGTGATGCTTGGAAGTTTGATTAACACATGTCATCTGTATGCTTTTTTAGTTTTATTGTAGCACGAAATATAATACTTTTTGTAGACAACACATTTATACAAATATTTATAATATTTATAACACACATTTTCAAATGACAATGCGTATTTAAATTTAAAAAATTTGGTAAATTGAAAAAATTTGGTCAAATTAGTCGTAAACAACATTACACAACTGTCTCTTCCAAGCTGACAATAAATATATATTACTTTGATTCTTGGATGATAGTTTAAGATTACTCAACCTCTATGGTTGATTAAGGGCGCCCATTGGTTCTTAGATCGTTAAAATTCTGCGATTGATGGGGACGTTTTGAGAAAAGACGAAAACTCACGAATTCACGGACAAAGTCAACTCTTTCTTCGTGGAGTGGAGTGGAGTGGAGTGGACAGGACAGGACAGGACAGGACAGGACAGAGGAGAGAGGAGAGAGGAGAGGAGAGAGGAGAGTTGCTGCTTACTCTTCACCGTTCTGTTACAGTGGGCTTGGCCATTCTCTTCACGTACCTGTTCGGCCAGCCGTACCAGCGGGGTTTCTTCTGTGACGACGACTCCATCCGGCTGTCGCTCAAGGGCGACACCGTGGTGCCGGCGCTGCTCATCGTCATGTCCGTCCTCGTGCCCACCGTCACGGTAAGAACCAGAACCAACGTGTTTAGGGGGAGCGCAAACACCGTGGGTAATAATTCGCACGTTCCCGAACGTATACGGGTCCCAGTAGCAAAGTGCATTTCTCAGCCATGCAATCAAAATGGTCTACATGACGCGGCCCGTGTTACACGAGCGTTGCGTTGACGGGCGTTAAGAAATGAGCGTCGTAGATTAATACTGTACCTGATGCGGAACGGCCAAAGCATTCGTGTGCCGATTCGCATAAGATACAATGTCATTCTGCGACGCGCGTTACTTATCGCAAGTCAACGCAGTGCCAAGGTTCTAAACGTTGCCAGACCTTCACGATATTGGGCAAATTTTGAATAAGAGTTCCTATGAATATTGTTTCTTTTATGTGACAGTACATTTCGTGTAAAATAGATATTAAATGTTTTTCTCTCCAAAACGTTCACTAAAACTTTCGGCCAACTGAATAAGCTACTAGTCATGTGAGTGATGGCGACACGATCTTGCGCGAATCTGGCGAAAATTCCCACGCCGCTTTAGAAAGTTCGTGATCACAGCAGGCAGAAATTGAGCCTGCGGGATGGCCTTGTCATTGCTATTATCAACATAATCATTATTATGCAATTATATCTCATGACCATGAAGACCCAACATTTCTCCTCCGACCGCAAGCAGCTGTTGTACTTCGTCGGTTGCCTTCTTGGGAGATGTATCTGCAGTTCTCGAATCGTTAAAAAAATCCAGAATTAGAACCTGATTCTTGAGTTTTATTCGTAACCAAAAGTTTAGAATTCTAGTATTTAAAAATCTCCTTCTGATCGCTCAACTTGCAGACGATGCACTTGCCTTCAACTGTCCCGCTCCCCGGACCACTGAAGTCCTCTGTGAGCACAAGTGGGGAACCAGTGGTCTAACTGTCTCCAGTTTTCATTATCTTATTAATCCTTGGATTATATATAACTGGAAATTGTAACAAGTGCGCACATTTCATGCACTATTTTTTTTACAAGCCATGAGCGGAACCCAAGCTGGTTTGTAATCAAGAAACAAATATTTATATTTTAGTTTTTTTACAAAAATATTTGTAATAAATATTTTAGCAACAAAGAGCGACTTAAATGATTTCGATTTGGAAGTGCTATTGAATTGTTCCTTGTATTGAACAGTTGAACGCAGTGTTGCGAATAGTACCTCTAAATACGTTACCGAAAGCATTTTCCTTACACATTTAATTTTTTTCTAGTAAATTCAGAAATTCCAAATCATCACAATGTGTTTCACTGCATTATGCAAGGTATGACCTCATATCACGCACGGTTCTATCCCCCACCCTCGTATTTTAGAGCGCCTGAGCAAACTCTCGAGATCGACAATGCGGGGTAGTCAGGTGTGGTTGGCCCAAGTAATGTAAATAAAGCCCGCAATCTATTAAAGGTTTTAGTTGTGGCCCTTGAAGTCTTGTCAAGTTGGACACCCATGTTCTAGACTCTCTCGAATAAAAAAAAATATGGACAAACTCTCGAGATCGACAATGTGGGGTAGTCAGGTGTGGTTGGCCCAAGTAATGTAAATAAAGCCCGAAATCTATTAAAGGTTTTAGTTGTGGCCCTTGAAGTCTTGCCAAGTTGGACACTCATGTTCTAGACTCTCTCGAATAAAAAAATTATAATAATGGACAAACTCTCGAGATCGACAATGCGGGGTAGTCTGGTGTGGATGGCCCA